TATGTACATCACACACTCCGGTCACTCAGCTCTTTTTCTGCCGCAGCAACTGCATTGTGTGCTCCATCGCATCTGTCGCGTATGCCGCGATGCTGTGGTTCAGCATGAGCAAATCAAACCGCGCGACCTGAGTTTCAATGGCCTTCGTCAGCGTTGCGAGGCGCTCCTCCGTCACTACACGTGCGCATCGCAGCTTCGATACCTCCTCCCAGAGCTCCGGCGGCACGTCCTTCGGCCGCCGCGGATCGGTGCTGAGCGTCATGCTAAGCGCCTCCGACGACACGAGGCTCGGTGCGAAGTGCTGCCTTCCAGCAGCTTCGGATAACAGTGGCGTTCCGCTCGGCGGAGGCGGCGGCGACACCGTGACCACCGCAGCGGCAACCCTTGCTGACTGCTGCGGCGGCTGTTGCTGTGGTGTTGGTGATGGAAGGTTGTCGTTGTTGCGCTTGAAGAGATTTACAAGGGCTGTGGTGACCCTGATGCGCTTCTTCTCATCCATCGCGGCCACCAGCGCCTCGGTGCTGTTCTCATCGACAGGTGGACCTGCTACCTTCGCGGAGCTGTCGCGCTTCGACCGCTGCTTCTTGGTGGGCAGTGTGGGCGGTGTTGGGTTCATCTTCTGCCGGTAGTCCAGAATGCGGAGCGAGGAGAGGAGGTTGGCGTCCTCGTAGATACCGGCCAGTTTCTTGCTACACTCCTCCACCTGCGCCGACAGCGTGCCGAGCACCTGCTGCACGGCCACGATCTTCTTAGTGTTCGAAGCCCCACGCTCTGTCCACCCCGCAGCGGTGGTGCCCGCCTCGAGGAGGAGCGGGTCCTCCACGGCGAGTGCCGCCTCTTCCGCCTTCTTCATGCCCTTCTTCGGCCCCATCCTGCTGCTCTACAACAACAAACATACACATAGTGGGAATGGCAAATAAATGATGCAATTATAGAAACAGAAGCTGCAAATAAGAATGGTCCAAAGTGCACAGTGGCAGAGATACAGACGCACGTCACTCATGTACGCACCTTAAGGCACTTCTGCTGCAAGGGGTGACCTCGCAGCTTATGAGCAGATGGGAATGGCTACAGAGATGAGGCCACAAGACGGCACAAAGCATCCTCTCTCCAAAGCTACAAACTAAGAGCATCACCGCTCGAAGAATCACAAGAAACGGATCGGGTATATACTCATCTTCACCCACTTCTACTTGTTGTCCTCCCCGCTCGTAGAGTGAGTGCGGAGGGGGCGCAGAGTGCCGTCAAGACAGCACCTCTTCACATAATATACGCTCCATCCCCACTGTGGCACGGTAGCTCATTAAGCGTCCTTTCACCACTGATGCGGAGCGTACCGCCGAGGCTCTCGGGGAGTTGATCACTCTCCACGTGCTGCAGCAACAGCTTCTCCTCATGGGCCACCAGTACGATCTTCTTGCGCGTCCGCTTGTCAATGAAGGAATTGACTAATGCGTACATCGCACGAACGTACCAAGGGTAGCGGTACAGCAGCATCTTGCCGAGAAGCTCCGGGTAGTAGTCTTGCATGATCTGCATCGTCAACTTGCGCGACTCAGTGCTACGGGGGTCACGCGGGTGTTTGCCCATCTCGCCGAAGTCCATGACCCACGTGAGCTGCTCGTAGCCCTTCCGCAGCATCTCCTCCATGATGTACACCAACTGCCGCGTGCGCGCCTGCGCGTCGCAGCTGTTCGGAGCGCCGACTGTCATGATGAGAAGCGGTCGTCCCTCGCGGCAGCGGCCGCCAACCCTGATGGTGAGCTGTTCCATCGCCTCGGACACATCTTCCACGGTGATTTTGTACGGCTTGAACTCCCTGCGCCACTCCACGCAGGCCTTCAGCATGGCGGCAGCCTTTTCCACGTTGGCGTTGCGGGCGCGGGCGAAGCGCAGGTATGTGTTCCCACGGAAGAAGTGCACATCCTCGGCATCAAGTACAGATTGCGGGAACTGCTGCCGCAACCATTCAACACACTTCGCCTCCTCTTCAGTAGGTGGAGGGACACCACACGATGTCATGCTATTTTGTGTTGTCATTGGTCACAGCAGCGACGCGTGCTGCTTGCGCCCCCCCTCACTTTAAACAAAAAAAAACTCTTATTTTGTTTTTGCCTCGGTGTCTTTGTCAGATGCTTGGGGGAGTTGAGAAGGCGGCAGCAGAGAATCACAACAGCACCACCACATGCACCAGCAGATATGCAGAGACGTGTGGGCGAATTCCCAATCCGCACGCGCAAGGGGGATGCATGAAATCACAAAAACATGCTCTCCACAGGACACTCTTCCTCCTCCTCCTCCCCCCGACTGCACTCGACAGCTGAGGTCACATACAACGCTGTATGCCCAACCACCAAACAAAACAACAACAACACCCACTTCAAGCTGGCCCACCAATCTCTGGCACTGGCGGCCCTACCGTCGCCGCATCAGCATCACTACCACTGTCACCACCAATGAGCATGCGAACAGGATTCTGAAATGAGACCGCACCCCCCATGCCGTTGCCATTGCTGTAGTAGCAGCCTCCAATAACATACAGGTACCCCGCCGCGTGGTGCATGGTCGCCCCACAACAGTGCCGCGGAATTGCACCCACAGCCAGTTTTATTTCGCGCGCAACAGCGAGTATCGGTGATTGAAGGGCAAGCTGGAAAAGTCTTGGGGTGGGGCACATGTTGCACGTCTCGCCGAGCACAAACACCAAATCCTCACCCTCACCCTCACCACAGCCACCGCCAGCAGCAGCTGCACACACGTGGTCCAAACTCGGCAGCGGTGGGTCCGCCACCACCTCGTTCCACTCCGTTACGCCACTCGCAAGCCGAAGCAGTGCAGGAGCGGCACTGCTATTGCCGACACTGCGCCCACCCACCACGAGAAGAGACTCGTCACGCAGCGCCACACACGCATGAAACGCACGGGGTTCTGGAAGGAAGCCGAAGAACTCAACCACTGGAGGAGAGGTGAACAACTCCACCCCATCAGCGGGCCACGCAATGGAGAAGCAGTCCGCGCTCACACGGTTCATGTCATCCATGCCGCCAACAAGTAACGCCATCGACGGGTATCGTGCGGTCAGTGTGTGAAATGTGCGGTGGGGCAGCAGCGTTGTGTCGTACTGGCACCGCTGCCACTTTGGCGCGGGGACGTGCAGCGCACACAACCACATCTCCACGGCCACATCGCGGACGGTGGTGGTCTCACCACGGCCCCCCACTAGTAGTAGATACTCCGACGAGGGCATTGATGTTCCTGCGGTCAACGATGATGATGATAATGATGGTGGTGGTGGGACAACAACAGTGCAGATGGCCGCGCCAAAGAGAGGAGGCGGCCGCAATTTTGCATGCTCGCTCTCCTCGTAGGGCAGAACATCAACTGCGGTGCAGACGTGCTCTGCAGCAAGGCGAATGCGCGTGAGCTGTCGCTCAACACTCTCACGGCGCACATCCGGCAACAAGGTGCGTGTTGCGGGCACGTACCGATGGGTCGCCAGCGCCTTTGTGCCCCCGTAGCAGTACACAACATTGCCGCTGCCGCTCGCTGCTGCGTGGTACTGCACGTGGAGAGGATTATATTCCAAGGGGTGTGCTGACACAAGCAATTGCCAGTGCCACGGCACTGTGCGGCGCAGTCCACGTGCAATGACACCTCTCCAGTCGTTGCACTGTGCTGCAGTGATGAACTTCATCCAGAAACATTCGCTGCAGCTTGTCGTCACGAGCAGCTCACACTCCCTACCTTCCTCGCCTGCCACATCGGCCGCCACAATAATGAAGCGGTTCCGCACAACACCCTCCTTGCTAGCTCGGTACGCCATGCGAGTACCATCCAGTTCAAAGTACCGCTGCCGCCACTCTCCTGTCCATGCAGCCTTCTTTAGTACGACGCCCTCACGCACGTCTCTTTCTCCCTCCACGGCATCCTGCACCAACGCGGCGGTGATGCTGTCCGTCCACTGACGGTGCTCCTCCTCCGTCTCGGCGCGGAGCGTCCAGCAATCCCCCTCCTTCAGCCACACACGGAAGGTGAGCGAATGCTGCGGCCCCACATTGCGCAGCAGGGAAGCGATGTAACCGTTTTTTTTCTCCGGTCCTTTCTCCTCTGCGCGGTATGCCAGTCGCAGACCGTCTTGAACAAAATATCGTCGATCCCACGCAAACCGCCATTCTGCTTGCTTCAACAACCACGCCGCCCGATAGAAGCGCGGCGACTCTTCCGTCATCGCCGCCGATTTCCCCTTCTCCCCCCAGTGTGTCGTCACAGCAAACAGCACACTGGTAAATTTTTTTTATTGCAAAGGGGATGGGCCTCGGATGCGCGTGCTACGCCCCACGCAAACGAAAAAAAAAAAATAAAGAGGGCCAAACCCCTCCTCAAAAAAAAAAAGGAAAGAAGAACACTGCACACACAAACACACACACACATATGCTCTCCTCAGATTACGTACACAATCAAGGCAGAGAAAAGTGTCAAGAGTATTTATGAGACATCTCAAGATGTGATAAGTAGCTGTAGCCGCAGCAGCACCTCATTGGCCCCACGCTTTTGTTTCAATGCCGTCGCCTCCACAGCGGCGACTTCATCTCCGTGTGCTGCGACCAATTCGTCCAGCAGCGCCACGTCCTCCGCCTTGCTCCACGGTCGTTTGGTGTCAAAGGCGTCCCGCACCACCGCATGTCCGTTGGTAGATCCACAGCGGAGACAGCGACCCAAAAGCGCCGCCTGCGTCGTTGCAAAACCCGTGCAGGAGCCGCGCAAAGCCGGGACACCCTCCACGCTGCACAGATTTGTGTACGGCTTCAGTGACTGCGGCTGCAGCGGTGATGTGGACACGCGCCACGCCTCATCCGAGCTCATGGTGTGAATGATGTGCGCGTAGCCGTCGTGGCACTTGTCGAACAGCGACGCACCGGGCGGAAGCTGCGTGTCGAAGGCGAGATTCCACACCACGCACGGCGACCCCGCCGCGTCTTCGGCGGCAAACGAGGCCATCGGCGCTGTGGTGGGCCCCTGCTCGTGCATCACCATCACTGTGCGGAAGTCCAGTTTCCCCGCACTCTTCTCGTGCAGTAGCGCGTGCCACTGTGGCAGCAGCTCCACCTCTTCTCTTGGGTTCTCGGCAATGCAGGTGCGCAAAAACACCACAGGTCGAGTGGGGTGCGTGATCATCATCTCCCACTCATCGAAGCGTCGCAGGAACATCTGCACAACCTCCTCCGAGTTGAGGTTGAAGTGCGTGATGCAGGTGTGTTGACCGCGGAACAGCAGCCATATTGAGGCCGGGTCAGGCGTGAAGGGACGCTCGTGCAGCGGGCCAGGGAAGAAGCCTTTCCCAAAGCCGTTGGCGGTAAACTCCAGCAGACCGTCAAAGCTGCAGCGCGCCATGTCGAAAGGTAGTTGCTCTTCCACAGGCCGGATGCCGAGTTTTGAGAGCATGAGACCAGGACCGCACCAGCCCCCCAGGGAGACCCAGCGCCGCATCGCTGCTGTTTCCCGCCCGCTGCTTTTTGTTTGTTTGTTGCATTCAGCGACGAAAACAACACACACACACACACACACACATAAAAAGAAAGAACCATTAAAGGAGGCAACAGCTCAAATAGACAAATGCCCTCCCAACTCTCCCTCAACCGACCCCAACCACACACACACACACGCACACACTCAGAGACGACTCATTGCTCTCAAAACATAAGGTATGGAAACTGATTAATAGTGTGAAATAGTGAATGCATTGACGTTTTCATTTCAAAAGAAACGAAAGTAGTAGTTTATCTGCAGTCTTCGCTAGCACTCGACTCGCGTCACGAAGAGGCATGCGTGACTTGGGATCCTGCCGCGTTAAGCCTCGTACCACCCACAACTCCGGGTACTGTGACAAGAGTGCGGCGTCCGGGAACACGCCCTCGCGCACGCGCCGAAGCTCGTGAAGCCGCTCCGAGACTGTCTTGGGCTGCAGATACATCTCCGCCAGCACCACACCACTGGCGTACGCATCAGAGGCAGCCGTGCAAAGGTTCCCCTCCAGCTGCTCCGGGCTGGAGTAGAGCGGCGAGCCGGCGCCGACGGTGTTGATGGCGCTGCGGTTGAAGTATCCGGCGACGTCGACACGCTGGTCACTTAGCGGCTTAGCAAGGCCAAAGTCCCCGACGCGAACCTGCACAAGACGCCGCTTCAGCCACGCCCGCACCCTTCGTATCGCTTTCCGCCTCTTGGGCTCCTCCTTTGCATCGCTTAGCCGCCGTAGGTGAAGCGCCAGTGATCCCACGGAGGCGTTTGTCTCCAGCAGCTCAAAAGCGGAGGAGGAGGGCGCATACTTCACCGTCGTCAGCCCCGGCACGGTCCACTCGGTCGCACCCGAACCGTCACGAGCGCCACCGCCGTTTTCGTAGTCGTTGTTGATATCATCATCATCATCATCATCATCGGCATCGTCGCTTGTGTCGTCCGTAGCAACCATTTGGAAGCGGTAGTCGAGGAAAATATTTGTCGGTTTCACATCGCGGTGTAGACATCCACACCTGTGGATATAGCGCAGCCCGTCGAACATCTGTAACGCAATGATGATATTCTCCACACGATCAATGACAGTACGCGAACCCAAACGGTGCGCCAGGGTGGTTTGGCAGTACTCCATTTGTAGGAACACCACTCGCGCTCCAAGGATAGTCTCCGAGGACCGCGTAGAGGACGAGCTGGTTTCGCTCGATGAGTTGGCGTACTCGTCGTTCATCGCGCCGACGCTGCTGAGAGGTGATGCTGCTTGTGTGCTCTCCATGCTGTCGTCCCCGGCGAGGTACACTCCCGTGTTGCCGTGCTGCGGAGCCGCTAGCAGCAGGTTGTTGTTAATTGCACCACCTTGATCGCCCATCCAGCCGATGCGCTGTAGGCCACTGATGGCACACATGCCTTTGGCTTCCTTGGCATCGCACAGACCAATGCTCGCAAGTTGCTCCACGCGGCACGGCGTTACTGCTTCCGACCAACACGCGTAGTAGCGGACAAGGTACTTATTCTGCAGCAGGGCGTGCAGACGCACCTCTTGAATCGCCTCCTCTTCAGTGAAGTTGTCCCGCACAAGCAGCACCTTGACGGCGTAGAACAAACTTGTCACGCGGTGCCGCGTAAGAAGAACCGCACCAGAGGCACCACGGCCCAAGAGCGCTATGACCTCATAGTTCTCGTCAAAGAAGGAAGTCCCACTGCGCACAGGCATCAGGCTTCCTCCATTATCACTTGTGAACGATGCCGTTTGGGCGCGAAGCACAAGCGCGTTGCTTGAAACCCCGCTCGGTGAAGTTGGGTATGCCTCGCCAGAGTCGTCTCTGTTAAAGAGCAAATATGCTTCATCATCATCATCATCATCCGTGCGCCACGAGGTCGGAGAGTTTGCAGAAGTTGCCGGCAACAGCTGCGATCCAACGCGCGGTACTGTTTCTCCTGTTCCTGTTATAGAGTCAACAAAGAAAACCCTACGTTTACCATCGAGAAAACCGGAAAGCACATTTTTATGTTCTTTGTGCTGCTGCAACCAACCAGCACGGATGTGCGTTCGCGGGTGTCCCGTTGAATTGACAACAGGGATCTCCTCGCAACTCACCTGTGACGCAGCACCTCCGTCACCTGTGGCGATAGAGTGTTGCTGGAGCCACACAATGTGTGCGGAAACAACAGGGGAGGAGATCGAGAGCTGCATTTCCATAAACCCTCCCGCATTGCCAGCATTACACAGAGAGGCCGTGACGCCGTCCATCGCCAATGTCTGTTCGATGCAGAATACATCACGCCTCGCGTCCAACAGCGGCTCGCACGGTGAATCATCGACGGACATACATAGCACATTAAACTCAACGCTTGAAGTCACTGCATACCAAGAGCGGCACAAGTCACCTGTCACACTCTCAGCATCAGTGCGTGAGGGCATACTCTGGAGCGGAAACACCAACGTTCGAGAATTGTCGGTGCGTTGCACTGCCAGGCGCAGCCCTGACTCCGTATTGGCTGAGCTTTCCACCGTCTCCAGCATTGCATGATCCGCTTCCGTTCCAAGGCTAGAAAGAACTTTTCCTGTGAATAAATCTAGCTCCATGTACGATGTTTGCCTCTGCTGCAGATCCACGGGCCTGTGAGTAGGGCAGGAGCAAGTTTTCCAGCACTCTAGCACATCGTCCACAGGCAGCCCAACGGTCCCACCGTCGCCGTACCACTCATCTGTAAGGAGACACCACTTTAGCGGAGGAGCACTCGCATTGTCACCGTGGGGGAGTGACACAAGACAGCAGTCAATGCCGCTACCTTCCCAACCGACATCTAGAGCGTCCACGCACGCATCCACATGATCCTTTCCTACTTGTAGTTCACTACAATTGAGTCCGGATACATTCTTGCAGCCCCTGCACGCAGCACGGGGCGGCCGGTGCGCCCACATCCATCGCTCCGTCTCGCTGCTGCGCCTAGATCCACAGTAGGAGAGTTGACCTCCAGGATGCCCCGTGGTCCAGGAGTCTTTGCCGTCTGCGAGGGAGATGCAGCGCAGCCCGCCGTCCAGCTGCATCAGAAGCAGCCACGCCCGTAGCGGCTGTGATGTCCCCTGCTCTTCCGTCATCGCCCTGTTGCACAGTCACGCCCATCCGTCGCGGTGCACGCCACACCATGCCATGCAACCAAAGAGAACAAAGAAAGGAAGGAGAAAGAGAGGAATGTAAATATGAGAGAGTGAATCCCGAACTTTCCCACGACAGTAGTGACATAACAGATCTCTCTACGGCAAATCACCGACGCTATTTTACCTTTCTCTTTGAGTTACACGTAAGGGGCCGCCATGTTACTGCCTCTTCTTCTCCATGTTGCTCTCGAAGCGAGCCCGCTTCTTGTCGCTGAGGGCCTGCACCTCCTCGTCGAAGGTCCGCTCCGTCTCACGGTCTAGCAGCTTCGTATACGGCCTGCTGGTCAGCGGCCCCGTCGTCCCGCCCTCCACCTGCTTTGATAGCGTGTGTAGGTCATACTTCCGCACGCGCAGATTAACATGCGTGCGCTCATCTGTCCAATCGCTACCGGTCGCTGACCACCTGTCCGCGGTATACACCTCATCTTGCTGCGGCTGCCGTACCACCATTGCGCCGTCCGAGTCGGTGCACCCATCGTACCACGCGAACAGCTGCGACCGCATGGAGCTCGACACCGCGGCACGCAGAAGCAGCGCCGTCGCGATGTCCTGCAGTTGGGACTCCGCCGCCAGGAATGCGCGGTGGGAGATGTTCCACTCAATACCCTCAAAATGGCATTCCCAAAGAACGAGCGGCGTGCTGTCCGCGAGCGGGTAGACAGGCTTGCAGTCGCCGCGCTCGAGCAGCGCTGTCACAACCCCCGGCTCCTCGAGCCCGCGACCAACGAGGAAGAGGACCTCCATGGTGCAGCGGATCTGGTGGTACAGGAAGGAGTTAGCGTGGATCTCGAGGTACGACACCAGCTCTGGCATCGTCTCACTCATAAAGATGCCAGAGCGGCGCACGTGGCGCTCGTAGTTGCTCACATTCACAACGTCAGTCCTGCAGAAGTTTCGGAAGTTGTGCACGCCCTCAAGACGGGCCGTGGCATCCCTCATCGCGTCGAGGTTGAGGCCGCGGTGGCAGAAGTAGTACCGGTAGGTGCGGGCCGTGCATGAGAAGCGGGCGTCGAAGGTGTTGTCGACGTACGCCCAGCCGACAATCCGTATCGCGAGCGGCAGCACGTTGTTCAGCATCGCGCAGTAGTCGAGTGGCGGCTTCTGCGGCGCGTCGGTCGGCCACGAGGAGGCCCGCAACGTGAGGGAGAAGACGTTGCCGAGTGCACTGACGCCCTTGTCGGTGCGCCCACAACGAGAGAGATCGCCGGGGCCGTCGTGCGGGATTAATCGAACACGTTTAAGCGCTGTCACCACGTACGCCTCCACTGTATTGGGCGTCTCGTCTTGCTTCGCCAGTCCATCGTAGAGGTGGCCGTGGTACGCCAGCCGCAGTGCGACCTTCCGCGACGGGTAGTTCTCGAATACGAAGGGCCGCTCCGGCTGCAGCTGCCGCTTTTTCGACTTCTTCGTAGATTGCGCGGCCGCACAGTTGCTGCTGCTGCTGCTGCCGCCGCCGCCGGTGCGGTCATGCTTTTCGCCGGGCTCTGCTGACATTGCGGGGCGGCGTCCTTCCACACGCCCCGATGGAACCCTGAAGAAANAAGGAAAGAAAGCAAATGGGGAGGGGACGTACCCAAAAGGAAGGTGCACGCAGTGCGAATACATGAGTAGGAACGAGCTGCAGTGTGCAGCGGTGCACGACATGCCATCCCGAACGCTAAGTTTCTCCGCCTCCCACACCACGGCTGCCGATGCGCCACCGCTCTATCCTCCGCCCACCGGCAGCGACACCGCCAGCGTCGGCTCCACCCACGTGCCGGCGACGTCTGTTGCGTCGCACACGTACGCGAGCGGCACGCCGCCACACACGGAGTACGACACCACTGGCATCACCGTGCGTTGTAGAAGCGCCGCGAAAACCGGGCGACTCGCCACCTCCGCCACCTGAAGCAACGCTGAACCACGTTGTTTCTTTTTCTCCACCTCTTCTGCCCCATCGTACGTTTCCCTCATCTCACGGACTACCCCATCGCTGCGTTGCTGCAGCAGCTGGTACCGACCGTACCGCCTCGACAGCAGTGCCGTACCTGACGCCGGGATGAGAAGCATCACTCTTGCTGCAGTATCCGCAACGATGCGCTGCAACAGCGGAAGCAGCAACAACTCTACAGTTTCTTCCTTCCGGCGTTCCTTCCCCTGCTGTTCCTCCCATTCTTCTTCCGCATCTTCCCACGTCTGTTTGAAGATGACGCAGAGCGGCGGCTCCGCGTGG